AAGGAAAGGTTCTAGTTGAATGACGTATTTATTGTTCTTTTTTTTTTAAAGATTTATTTATTTATTATGTATACAGTGTTCCGTCTGCAGGCCAGAAGAGGGCACCAGATCTCATTACAGATGGTTGTGAGCCACCATGTGGATGCTGGGACTTGAACTCAGGACCTCTGGAAGAGCAGCTAGTGCTCTTAACCGCTATGCCATCTCTCCAGCCCGAATGACGTATTTATGTGTCAAATTGACAAGGGGCCAGTTGTACGGCTAGTTTGATGTCAACTTCATACAAGCTACAGTCATTTGGGAAGAGGGAACCACGATTGAGAAAATGCCCCACGAGACTGGCCTGTGGGCAAGCCTGTGGGACACTTTTCTTGATTGATCATGGATGTGGGAGGGCCCAGGTCACTGTGGGCAGTGCCCCTCTGAATTTATAAGAAAGTACATAAGGACTAGAGAGATGCTCATCCCGAGGACCTCCGTTCGTTTCCCAGCACCCACATGGTGGCTCACGACCATCTGTAACTGCAGTCCCAGGGAACCCTATGCCCTCTTCTGGCCTCTGTGGTCACTTGTAAGCATGTGTACAGAGACATAGGTGTTTAACTCAGTGGTGGAGTGCCTGCCTATCAAGTGCAGGGCCCTGAGTTTGGTCCTCCACTGGGAGTGGTAGCGAGAGAAAATGACATGTAGGCAAAACACTCAATACTCATACACGTAAAAATAGGTTAAAATTAAGAAAGCAGGTGAGCTACCCATGGTGGCACACGCCTCTGATCCCTGTACTTAGGAAGCAGAGGCAGGTGGATCTATTTGAGTTTGAGGCCAGCCTGATCTACATAGCAAGTTCTAGGACAGCCAGGACTCCATAGAAGAGACCCTGTCTCAAAAAAGAAAGAAAAGAAAAGAAATCAGGCTGAGGGGCTAGAGAGATGGCTCAGTAGTTAAGAGCACTAGCTGTTCCTCCAGAGGACCCAGGTTCAATTCCCAGCAACCACACAGGAGCTCACAACTGTCTGTAAATCCAGTTATAGGGGAACTGACACCCTCATACTAATGCACATTAAAAAAAAAAAAAAAAAGAAGAAGAAAGAAAGAAGCCGGGAAGCGGTGGCACAAGCCTTTAATCCCAGCACTTGGGAGGCAGAGGCAGGTGGATCTCTGTGAGCTCGAGGCCAGCCTGGTCTACAGAGTGAGATCCAGGACAGGCACCAAAACTACACAGAGAAACCCTGTCTCAAAAAAAAAAATAAAATAAAATAAAAAAATAAAAAAAAAATAAAAAAATAAATAAAATAAATTACTTCTCAAAAGTATTTTTAATTGCCAGGCGGTGGTGGCGCACGCCTTTAACCCCAGCACTCGGGAGGCAGAGGCAGGCAGATCTCTGTGAATTCGAGGCCAGCCTGGGCTACCAAGTGAGTTCCAGGAAAGGCGCAAAGCTACACAGAGAAACCCTGTCTCGAAAAACCAAAAAAAAAAGTATTTTTAATTAAAAAAATAAATAAAAGCAGGCCGGGGAAGTCATGGGGAACAAGCCACTAAGCGCTCCTCCATGGCCTCTGCTTCAGTTCCCGCCTCTAAGTTCCTCCGCTGAGCGCCTGCTCTGACTTCCCTCGGTGATGGACTGTAGAATCTGTGCTGTGTAATAAACCCTTTCCTGCTCTGGTTGCTTTTGGTCGTGGTGTTTATCACAGCAATAGAAACCCTAAGACAGTTACACAGTCATATAGTAGACCCTGTGACATACCTTCTATGTGATTATTACCCTTTCCATTTCTTTCCTAAAACTTTCAACCACACTCCACCAGGCTATACACCCCCCACACACACTCACCACCAAAACTATGCTTTACAACCACTCACCCGCTCCCTAGTGCCCCAGCCACACCAGCATGCCTTGTGGACCCCCACAGGGAATTGGAACAAACACAGGGAAATGAATGAAGACTTTAGATTCTCTCATGGTTGTATGCCAGAGTGAGAGAAAGATAAAAATAGGGGCTGGAGAGATGGCTCAGAAGTTGAGAGCACTGGCTGCTCTTCCAGAGGACCTGGGTCAATTCCCAGCACCCACGTGGTGGCTCACAACCATCTGTAATGGGTTCTCATGCCCTCTTCTGGAACGCAGGCATACATGCAGGCAGAACACTCAAACCAAAAAAAAAAAAACAAAACAAAACAAAAAAAGATAAAAAATGGTTTGACAGCATCATATGGCTAGGAGGAATTGCTATTTATACTTTGGGGATGATGGACAGGACTGGAGAATCAGATCTGTCCTTGTCTGCCCTTCACCCTTCTGGAGTATGGAGAAGAGAGTGTCAGTTGTAGCATCAGAGGGGGTTGGCTGTGGCCCACGCAGGAGCAGAGATAGCAGATACCTTGCTGACAGCTAGCTGCTCACTGCCACTCTCCACCCTACTAGCCACTTGATGGAGAGAGGAGCAGAAACTGCTCATTCAGAGTTGAAGGAGCCCAGCAGCCTGACTTAGAGTTCATCAATCTCTCCCCTCCCTCGGGCTGCCACTGGAGCCCAGTAAAAGCTGAAATTGTAGCCACCAGCTCTGTGAGTTGCACACTCCCACCCTGTCACTGACCCCAGACCTGGGCCTGAGCCCAGGGCCTGTGCCGGGAGGGGGTGTTGGCCTTGCTGACAAAATCCAATTGGAATTTGTCAAGGTTGTGGTTTGGGGCTGAAGTTTGCCACAGAGTGTGTGATGAAAGAGAAGGGGATGCCAGGAAAGGAAGGGAGCCAGAGGCACTAGGAGCATGGAAACAGGAAAAGCTAAAATGCTCCGGCCACAGCGCCACTGGAGAGCACGTCTTCCCGAATGTAAGGCGTCCCCATGCCGGATTCTCCCCGTTAGTCTTGGTCTACCCAAGCCCGTTCTTAGTTCAGTCCCCTTTCCTTTCCTCCTCTCCTCATCCAAGTGAGCAAGTGTCCGACATCTGATAAACTGTTGCCATGGAACTGAGAAGATGGCTCACAGAGGGCCCATGCCAGGCAGCTCACAACACCCTAAAACTTCCATTCCAGCCAATTCAAGACTCTGTTTTGGATACTCATACATGTACGTATACACATATTTTTAAAAATTTTTAGACTTATTTATGTATATGAGTGTTTTGCCTGCATGTATGTCTGTGTACGATGTGTACGCCTAGTGCCTGTGGAGGTCAGAATAGGGTGTTGGATCCCTTAGAACTGGAGTTCCAGACAGTTGAGAACTTCCATGTGGTAGCTGGGAATCAAACCCAGGTCCTCTACAAAAGCAACAAGTACTCATAATCATGGATCTATCTCTCCCAACCCCCCCCCCAATTTTGTTGTTTTGTTTTTGAGACAGGGTATCTCTACAGAGCCCTGGCTGTTCTGGAACTCACTGTGTAGACCAGACTGGCCTTGAACTCACAGAGATCTGTCTGCCTCTGCCTCCTGAGTACTGGGATTAAAAGGATGCACCATCACACCTGGCCTCCCAAAAGAAAAAGTTGTAATGTCACCGTGGAGCACTACCCTGACCCAACACTTCTCAACCTCTTCTGGTTCCCCCCACTCCAGCTGTGCCACCCGACTTAAGAGAAACATGGGCAGCAGATACATCTCTTGCCTGGAGAGGAATAGAAAATTATTTCTGCATTCCATGGCATCATCTTGTTGGTGTTATTTTTAATATTTCTTTTGATTTTCTATATGAGTGTTTTTGCATGCATGGATACCTGCCATGCATGTGCAGGAGCCTGCAGAGGCCAGACAAGGGCCCCAGATCCTCTGAACTGGAGTTACAGATGGCTGTGGGTGTTGGGAACCGAATCCATGTCCCCTGCAAGAGCAGCAGGTGGTGTCTCTAATCTCCCTGGGAGCATCTTTTTTTTTTTTTTTTAAAGATTTATTTATTTATTATGTATACAACATTCTGCCTCCATGTATCCTTGCATGCCAGAAGAGGACACCAGATCTCATTATAGATGACTGTGAGCCACCATGTGAGTGCTGGGAATTGAACTCAGGACCTCTGGAAGAGCAGTCGGTGCTCTTAACCTCTGAGCCATCTCTCCAGCCCCATCCCTGGGAGCATCTTATGGCCCCCTAAATATGTGGGTGTTCTGAAAGTGTGCTGCAAATCCTCTGTCCACACTAAATTATTTTATTCTTTCTTGATGTTGTTTGGTTTGATTTTTTGAGACAGAGTTTCTCTGTGTAGCCCTGGATGTCCTAGATCTCACTCTGTAGACCAGGCTGGCCTCAAACTCACAGAAATCTGCATGCTTCTGCCTCCTGGGTGCTGAAATTAAAAGCATGCACCATCACCACCTGGCTGAGATTTACTTAATCTTATTTTATATGCATTGGTGTCTTATCTGCATATATGTCCGTGTGAGTGTGTCGGAAGCCCTGGAACTGGAGTTACAGACAGTTGTGAGCTGCCATGTGGGTGCTGGGAATTGAACCCTTGTTCTCTGGAAGAGCAGACAATGCTCTTAACTGTTGACCCATCTCTCCGGCCACCCCCACCCTTAAAGACGTTTCTTTTCAGCCAGGTGGGGGTGGTACACACCTTTAATCTAAACACTTTGGAGGCAGAAGGCAGACAGATCTCTGTGAGTTTAAGGCCAGCCTGGTCTACAGATTGAGTTCCAGGACAGCCAGGGCTACACAAAGAAACCCTGTCTCGGGAAAAACAAACCAAACAAACAAACAAATGTTTCTTTTCAAAGATATTAAGATATTTGGCTAGGAGTTGGATATGTTGGAGAAGAAATTCTGTTCTCTCTACTTATATCTGAAAAGATAAGGGAGGGGCCAGTAAGATGGCGGGGGAAGGGGGGGGTTGCCACCGAGCTGGAAGACCTAAGTTCAGTCCCTGGAACCCGTGTGAGAGCTGGCTTCTGCAAGTCGCCCTGTGACCTCCACATGAGCGCCATGGCACGCCTGCATCCACTCCCATGTGCACTCCCACGCATGTGTATGCACACATCCACAAATAAATGTAGAAAAATTGAAAAGATAAAGGAATTCCTTTACTTGGGTTAAATACAAAAGAACAATGAATAAAGAACAAAACATATATGCAGATAATTCAATGGCAGAGAATGCTAGTTTTGCTAGAAAAAAAAATCTCATTTTAGTTGGGCCTGGTAGGGCCCACCCATGATCAACCCCAGTACTCAGGAGAATGAGGGCAGCCTATGGATATAATTTGCATTTTGAGATAGGCATGCCTTTCGTTATTTTCCCATGGGCCTTGCATGTACCGCCACCCTCCCCAAGTCTGGCTCGGACTCAGAGACAACAGTACCTGCTCTTCTAAGTTCACGCACATCGTCACACAACATTTAAGACTTGAAACTCCCAGAGCAGATGTGACCTTGCAGAGGGGAGGGGTCAATGAGTGACAGCCAGAGGAGCATGCCGGGCCTGCAGACCAGTTTGTGACTGTGCTGAGCACAGCTACACCCATCCATCAAGTGCGGTCTGTGTCTGCTTTTGTCCATCCCCCTGCCCATAACTATTTTGGGTCTATAACATCAGAATTGAGTAATTATGGTAGAGGTGAGCAGATGGCATAAAGACCACAGTATAAATAGCCTCGGGTATCTGCCATCCAGCCCTTTGCAGGCTAAAGAGGGTTGCCCACCTTTGTTCTAAGTAACGACGGAGGAGATGCCCAGAGCTGAGGGCTCAGGGTGAGTAGGCTCTGTGTACACTTGGATCTGTGAGTCCTCCCACCCAGAAGCCCACCTTGGTCTTACAGACTGAGAATCTGAACTCGGTCACAGAGCATCTTTCCAACTCCTTCGTGGAAGTCAGCAGGATACACATAGAAAGTCACTGAGTACAGGAGTCCAGGCTTCACATGGGAAACAAAACAAACACAAAACCACAGGCTGCTACCCCAAGTGTGGCTAGACACACCGCCATCTGCATCCGCCAGCAGCCAGTCCAGCAACTTAATTTATTTTAGTTTCAAACAGGAACCAAGAACATGTCTCAGTACAATAAATTATCCATCCCCACCCTTTCTGCTGAAGAAGGGAAAAGCCTCTACGGGTCACAGCGAAGACCTTTCTTTCCTTTGGAGGGACCCTTTCAACCACTGGAAGGAGAAGGATTCCCTAAGAGCCTGAACAGACAGCTGAGAGTTCCCTGCAGTCTTCTGTCCTTTTCCAACCGAAAACATCTCCTTAAGGAGGTTCTGGTTTGTAGTGGAGGAGTTTGAGAACCACAAATAGGAAGAGGTGATCTCCTTCTACCCAGGTCTTAATGACTCCACACGATGCCTGCTGTTATTCTTCAAGGAAGACAAGTGGTCAGATGATAGCCTCCCTATCTAAAGGAGTATAAATCTGGGCCCAAGAGACCCCAGAGGTTCAGAAGAGGGGAACAATACAGTGCACTGCATCTCAGTCCATTCGCGTGTTTAAGAACAGAATATGGTGACCTCTTTCCCCACCAAAGGCTGTTCATCACAGATTTCACCTGACCCTACTCCCCGCCAAAGCTGTTTCCAGGTAGGTGCTTTGAGCTTCCAGGGGCCATGATTAACCCTGGACAGAAATCAGAGCAAAGGGTTGAAAAGGCGTACCCATCACACAGCGTTCTTCCTTAGTCCCAAGGTGCGGCTCACGTCACTTACACACGTTGACCCACTCTGTGACCTTGCATTCCTCACACAGCACGTAGCAGCACCAGTGGAAACGGCAGTGGCAGCGCTCCACTCGTGTCTGCCGGAGCACATTGTGCCCACGGCCACAGCACAGGCTGCCGCAGCCATCCAGCAGGCGGCTGGTCTTGTTGCAAGCCCGGCCTCTGGTGCCTGGTGAGCCCACAGTCGGGTCTCGCTCACAGAAGTCAGGAGACTTCTCGAAGTAGACCAGCTCTCCCGAGAGGCGCCGGGGACGTAAGCGGGGCTGGAAGGCTCCAGAATTGCGGTTGTGGGTATCGATGAAGATGGCTCTGCCCAACCGCTCCCTCAGCGCTGCCCCGATGGCCCGGAACTCTGGAGCTGCCCTCCAACAAGTCTTGAATTGGCAGCTGCCTGATGTGCCATGGCACTTGCACTTCCGCTTCAGGTTCTCAGTTACCACCTAGAACATCAGAGCGGCAAGAAGAGGAGGGATGAGGGGCGGGGTGGGCGTGAATGAATGGAGCCTGGGACACAGAAGAAGGAAGGGACCCGAACTTAAGAAGGGGCAAGTAGACTGTCGGGGAAGTTAGCCACCAGCGCCACGGCCTCATTTTATGAAGGCAGAGCAAGGCGATAACTCGCAGTCACCTAAATCCCAGTCCAGTGCTCTGTCCAGAGTAAACACTGATACGGTGGGAGTGACGGCAAGAGTGTCCCTAAAGTCTGTGGGGAAGGCAGCTGTTGGGACGGTTTCTATGCAATGAGCCAAGTGCTGGGCACATACAGAATACAGTATGTGCGGGCTGGAGATGTGACTCCGTAGTCAAGAGCACTGGCTGCTCTTCCAGAGGACCTGGGTTCAACTCCTAGCCCTCACATGGTGATTCGTGAGTCACAACTGTAACTCCAGTGCCAGAGAATCCAATGCCCTCTCTAGGGACACAAGTGGTGCACAGACCTATATACATACAGGCAAAACAACCATACATATTAAATTAAAAAAAAAAAAAACTAAGGCGGGCGGTGGTGGCACACACCTTTAATCCCAGCACTGGGGAGGCAGAGGCAGGCGGATCTCTGTGAGTTCGAGGCCAGCCTGGTCTACAGAGAGAGTTTCAGGACAGGCTTCCAAACTACAACAGAGAAACCCTGTCTCAAAAAACCAAATAAAAAAATTAATTAAAAAAAAATACGCTGGGCAGTGGTGGCGCACGCCTTTAATCCCAGCACTCGGGAGGCAGAGGCAGGCAGATCTCTGTGAGTTCGAGGCCAGCCTGGGCTACCAAGTGAGTCCCAGGAAAGGTGCAAAGCTGCACAGAGAAACCCTGTCTCAAAAAAAGAAAAAAAAAAAAATACTATATGCTAGCTCCACCTTAGTATCCGGTAAGCCCCATCAGGCAGTTTCCTGTAGATTCTCCTGTGTTTTGGGTGACCTACTAGTGACAAGTGGTGATCATCATACCTCATCCTGTTACTCTGTGGGGCCTCTCAGGAGGGAGGGACACAGAGAGAGAGAGACTGAGAAAAGTTGGGTTTGGTGGCCACACCCACAGTCCAGCACTCAGACTAAGGAGGATTCTGAACTTGAGGCTAGCCTGTACCACATAGCGAGACCCTGAGACCCAGGATGCCGAGGTGAGCACACATACCTGGCGTCCCACCCTGTTGTTGTGGATTCTCATTCTCGCCTGTATGTCCCGGGGAGCTTCTCTGGAGTCCAAGAAGTCCCGAGAGAACTTCTCTCCAAAGTCCATGTCGTGGTTACAGCCACCCCATTCCCACGTGTCCTGGGGGCCAGGGCTGGGGCCTGGGCCAGGGATAGGGCTGGGCTGAGAGTGTGGAAAACTCTTGCCTCGAGACAGTGCCTGAAGCTGCAGCAGCTTGGCCCGGAGCCGGTCCTGCTCACCACTGCCCTTCCAGCCGCAGCCACAGCTCACCAGCTTGCCCAGGCTGCAGGCTGTAGCAACAGCATGCATGACCCCAGCAGCCAGCATGGAGAAGGAGAAAGCGCTCTCCCGGAAACCTGGGGAGAAAAATGGGTGTGAGCATTGAGGTAAGGTGTACAGGCAGCTGAGGGGGGAAGGCAGGTGGGGGAGTGGGGGAGGAACCAGCCAAGCTCCAATGTCAATATATATACTGAGATAGGGTCTTGCCATGTAGTCCAGGCTGGCCTTGAACACTTGACAAGCCCCCTGCCTCAGCCTCCCAAGTGCTAGGATTACAGGTGTAAGCCACCACCTTGCCCAGCCAGCCAATGTCCAAAATTTCTAACTGAATCCCGACTCCATCATTTACCAGCTGAGTGACTTGGGACGATGTCCTGAGACAAGGAATAGCACCAGGTCTCAGTTCCCTCCGCTATAATAAGAGACCCATGGGGTCAAGATATGGCTAAAGCCAAACCTCTGTAAATCTGTCATTTGGGGGTGTGAATGTAAGAGAGAGCCTAGGGCAGGGTTCTCAACCTTCCTAGTGCTGGGACCCTTTCATACAGTTCCTTATGCTGCGGTGACCCGTACCATAAAACTATCTTATTGCTACTTCATATCTGCAATTTTGCTACTGTTATGAATCACAATGTGAATATCTGATATGCAGGATACCCGTTATGTGATCCCTGTGAAAGAGTCATTCATCCCCCTGTGGGGTTCATGACCCACGGGCCAGGGGGTTGAGAACCACTGGCCTAGGGAGCCCTCTGAGTTTCCCATGAGTCAGAGGGAGTCCCGAGGAGTTTTGAAGGTGTGTTCCAGGAGTGCTACACTTAAAAGACTTAGAAATTCCCCAACCCTGCGGGGAGTTTAGCAGGAGGTGGGGGGTGGAGGGGGAACCTTTGGTTTGAGGGTTCTTCCCCCCCCCCACACACACACACATACTTTATTAAATGAGTCTTTTAAGCAAGCTACCATGTACTGCCACGGTAACAATCCTAACACACTGGAACTGCCCACCCCCTTCCCAGGTTCTAGTTTTTATATTTGCCCTTCAAGATTGCCCTCTATGTTTATTCTAACCTGCTATTACCTTATAAAACATTGGGAGGAGGAGAAAGGCCGGAGGGATTTTCCCCAAGGCCCTTTTAAAAAGTTGGCCTCTTTCTTATGTTTTGGGGGTCACCAAGGAGGAGGCTTGGGATGACAAGTCTTTCCCAGGCTTAGAGAGACATCCTCACCCTTTGAGCGTCAAAACCTTCCACTACACCAGGCCCTGCAGAGAAGGAGGAGTCCCTCACTCCGTTTTAAGCAAGGGCCCTTTGGAGTGCTGAGAAGATGAAAGACAGTTGGAGACCAGGCGTCTCTTACCAGGGAATCTAGGGCTCCAGGGCCAGCCTCAAGATCCCCCAACCATCCAAGGGTGAAGCTGTTTGCACACGTCTTGGGAATTCCCCTGCAGATGGCAGCTGCCTATTAACCCCATAGTCCCCAAAGCACTACCCTACCCTGGACTGAGCCCCGTGGATCTTGGCTCCTCAGGGAGTAACCTCCAGTTGAGCATGCGGAGAGACAGTGGAGCCTCCCAGACCTTTCCTTCTAGACCAGGCCAGCAGTGACCTGTTCTCTGCCCCTCCAGCCATCCCTCACCTGTTCAGGTGAGGGACACCTGGGGCCCCCACAGCACAGAGGAGGGGGCTGCTCCCCAGCTTCAAAGCCAGTCAGGGTCTTTGTTCCCAGCTTTGGCTCCTGGGAACCCCAGCAATTAGGGGAGCAGGTTTAACCCTTAAACGGTTGGGGGCGTCACCCCACCCCCGCTGAGACTCTGGGGACACCAGCCTGGGCTTGTCTGGGTGGAGAGGGAGGGGAGCGAAAACAGGGGGTAGAGGGGGTGTTTGAAGCTTCTTGGGTTGGGGGGCACCTCCCGTTCACAGGTGCATCCCGGGATCGAGCTGGGTGGAGGCAGAAAAGCGAGGCCCTAGGGTAGGGGAGCAGGGACCCAGCTGCCTTGCCAGCGACGCAGGTGGAAGGCGGGCAGAGGGAGGCGCAGACGGGTGAGCGGCCCCAGCTGAGCGCGGCTCCCGGGGAAATTCCCGGAGAGGCCCCTCCCGCAGCCACGAACCGGTCCCTTCCCGCCTCCGCGCGCCTCGGCCTGCCCCCAACCCCTGGGCGGCAGCACAGCCAGCCAGGCAGCCAGGCAGCCCCGGCAGGCAGGGCTCACCGCGCTTGAGGATGGCGCTGTGGTGCGGCAGCCGGCCGCCGCCCTCCAGGGCCGAGCAGTTCCAGCGCTGGTCGCGCAGCTGATGCTGACACTCGTGGACGGCGATGTGCAGCCCTTGGAGCGCGGACGCCGTCACGTCGGGGCTGCGCAGGCACAGGCCCAGCTGCCGCTTACTCAGGCCGGACAGGGTCAAGCACACCGTGTTGGCCGTCAGCGGCGGCTCACCGGGAAGTTTTAGGCCCAGAATCTCATTGCTTAGAGCCCTGAGAACAAGGGACAAGGCGTCTGGGGGGTCTGGGGTCTAGTCACACGCCCTCCAACGACCCCCCCCTAGCCCAGGTCGGTGCTTTTCGCCCCCCAAACTGGAAAAATGCTCACCGACTCAACAAAGCCAACAACAGGAGACCCGCGAGGCCCAAGGGCGAAGGCCGAGACCCGGGCTCCTCCAGCATGTCGAAGCCCGGAGGCTCCGGTGGGCGAATCAATCAGCGCCTGCGGGGACAGGGATATCTGATCAAGAAGAGAATAGCTCCCTGGAACGGAGGGTTCTCTATTCCGGTCCCCTAAGCCATCACTGTGGCCCCACTGACTTTTCTCATCTCTCCCCCACACTACACAATAAGAGTCACCCCTCGACTTCCAGCGCCTGGGTTCTGGAACCCTTCAAAGAGGAAGGATCTAAGCAGCTCGGGGGCCCTCGGGAGCGCCCCTGGAGCCCAACCCCGTCAAGACGCAACAGAGGGTCCTGAGACACTCCCATGCGGACCCTCGATCCCTCCTCAGCAACTGTTCCCTCTCTGAGGGCCCCACCACTGATGTACCCGCCCTTACAGGGTTAGAGGGAGGGATCAGAAGGGGGTTCCCCACCACCTGGAGGGGTGTCGCCTCCTCGGTGCTGGCAATACCAGGCAAGCTAGGTTAGAAGAGTCCGAGGCCAGACGCTCTGACCCACTCTCTGACCTCCACGCCCAACAGGGAAAAAGGGCCAGGTGCCCCAAAGGCGACGGGGGAAACCAGGTACCCTCCGCAAACGCGGGTGGCTCCAGCTGAGTCCACTTCCCCATCCACCCCCCCCCCAACTAACTACACATTCCCACTGCAGAGTGCCACCCGTCTGGTCCCCACGGGTCCCACCCCCATCCCCACCCCTTTGCTGGCGTCCATTGCCCTCTAAGTCCGAAGGCACTCCTTTATTCTGTAGGTATATCTCCGGCTTTCTGTCGGTGCTCTTGAGGGTGGACGCTTGTCTGTCTGTCCGTCTGCCCGCAGTGCCTGTCTAGTCTCTGCCCGCCCTGTCCTCTACCGACCGCCCCATTACCTCCAGCGGTTCAGGTGCAGGATCCACAACACTCGCGGTTGGGTCACTCGGGCTCGGCTCGTGCGGCTTAGACGGTGGGGAGACTGGGTCGGGTTCGGCCCCCTCGGCAGAGCAGCATTCTTCCAGCGCCGGGCCACTCCTCTTCGCCGCCGCTTCTCCAGCGTCGCCGCGGCCGCCGCCGCCGCCGCCGCCGGGAGGAAGGGAGGGTGGAAGGGAGGGAGCGATCGAGACAGCGAGCGAGCGAGCGAACCCGCGACAAAGCACCGGGGGCTTTGGCTCGGCTCGACCTAACGCACGGGTGGTTCTGCTGGAGCTGACGGAGCTGCGGCCCCTCCCAGAGCCCGGGGCATCCCCACCCCACCCGCACCCCACCCCCTGCCTTGACCAGGGGAACGCAGCCGCTCCCCCCCAAAAGCGTACACACACACACACACACACACACACACACACACACACACACAC